CCATCTATCTATCCATCTCTTTATCTACTCTATCAATCATATATCTCTCATCTATTTATCTATTATCTATTTACTATCAATCTATCATCTATCTATCTCATCTATCCATCTATTCATCTTTTATCTACTGTCTATCATCTAACTATAATCTATTTACTATCAATCTATCATCTATCCATCTATCTTTTATCTACTATATCTATTTACTATCAATCTATTTACTATCAGTCTATCTATCTATCTATCTATCTATCTATCTATCTATCTATCTATCTATCTATCTATCTATCTATCTATCTATCTATCTATCTATCTATCATGCTAGTTGGGGAATTCTGGGAACTGAAGTCCATCCATCTTAAAGTTGCCAAGGGTGAGAAATACTGGTCTACAACCTGATCCTCGTGCTTTGAAGCATCCCACTTCATCTTTCATTTCAGAAATATTTTAAGGCTAAAGATTCAGCAGAGACGGAGATGCCAAAAGAGGCAACACAGGCCTAGATAATATAGACCATTTGGCACACAGAAAAAAATGGAAAATGGACTTTGGACTCCAGCTTAATTCCTGGTGGTTACAAGGCACATCCATATTGTCCTGCTGGCAATAATCAAGCCTAGAATTCAGCAATATCTTGTTACTTTTTCCTATGATCCCAATTAGCTTACAAATTCAGACTACACAGCTGCGTGCTGCCCTCTGTTGACACTAGAGCAGTTCACACCATATATAGGAAGTCCTTGACTTACACTTATTCAATTACGACAAGTGGCTTACAACCGGTCCTTATGCTTATGACCGTTGCTGCAAGCGTTGATAGTGAGTCTGGCTATTTTTCACACTTAACGACCATCGTAGCATCCCCATGGTCATATGATTTACATTATTCGGAGGCTTGACAATTGACTCACATTTATGATGGTTTGCAGGTGTCCCAAGGTCACCTGATCCTCCCTTTTACGACCTTCTGACAAGCAGAGTCAAGGGGGGGGGGGGAAGCCAGATTCATTTAACAACCAGGTGGACAACTTAAAACCCACTGCAGGGATTCCCTTAACAATTGCAGCAGAAAAAAAAGGCACAGAGTGTTTTGCAAAATCCCCTTAACAAATGTTTCACTTAGCAGCAGAATCCAATTGGGGCTCAATGGTAGAGACCGAGGACTACCTGTATTCAATTCAATTCAATTCAATGCAACTCAACTCATCCCAAAGGTGCTTTTTCAGGAGGCAACTGGTTTGAAAGAGGGGGTCAAAGAGGCCATCCAACTGAACAGCCCCTCCCTCAACAGAGGGGGAGGGACACGGCATCGTCTATCTCCAGTCTACAACACGGTCCTTTCAGCAGCTCCAAGAAGGCTCCACACCCATTTGCACCACTCAGGTGACCCTGAGGACACAGATAAACCTCCAGGTGGCCTCAATGACTCTCCAAAAGGAGGCAAATGACTAGCTGTCTGCAAGGAGTATAAATCCTTCCCTTCCCCACCATCCAGTCAGAGCTGAAGAAGCTTCTTGGAGGAGAAGCGAAACGTCTTCGAAGAAAAACAAGAAAGTCCAGTTGCCTCCTGAAAAAGCACCTTTGGGACAACCAGGACCTGGATTGACTGAGCATCTCCACGGACATTGAGCCGTGCACTTTGGGATGAACTCCCTTTGGATGGTGTGGGAGGATGAACGAATTCCCAGAAAACATTGCAGGCTCCAGGAACCATTTGCGCTTCAGTTGGAGAGGCAGACAACACAGAGTCATCCCCAACAGCCTGCGCCCATCTTCAACAAGGAAGGGACCCAGGGCAGAAGACATCCTGCAGCCAAGAAGGCTCCACACCCATTTGCACAACTCAGGAGACCATGAGGACACAGGTAAACCTCCAAGTGGCCTCAACAGACTCTCTAAAAGACGGCAAATGACCAGCTGTCTGCAAGGAGTGTAAATCCTTCCCTTCTCCACTATCCAGTCAGAGCTGAGGAAGCTTCTTGGAGGAGAAGTGAAACCTCTTCAAGGAAAGAACAAGGAAGTTCTGAAAAGAAGCACCTTTGGGATAACTATGACCTGGATGACTGAGAATCTCCACAGACCAGGGGTCGCCAACCCCCAAGCCGTGGACCAGTACCGGGCGACAGCATGCCAGCAACCGGTCCACACAAACAAGCAAAGCCCCATCTACAAGATGCAGGCAGCACACAAAACAACACACTGTCCGGTCCACGGAAAAACCTCTCTCCACGGAACCGGTCCCTGGTGCCCAAAAGGTTGGGGAACTCTGCCATAGACCTTAAACTCAACTCAACTCAACTCAACTTCACCACCCTTTTTTAAGTGTTCACTTCCATCCAGGGGCTGTCACAAAGAAGAGGGAGTCAAGCTATTCTCCAAAGCGCCTGAAGGCAGGACAAGAAGCAACGGATGGAAACTAATCAAGGAGAGAAGCAACCTAGAATTAAGGAGAAACTTCCTGACAGTGAGAACAATTAACCAGTGGAACTACCTGCCTCCAGAAGCTGTGAATGCTCCAACACTGGAAGTTTTTACGAAGAAACTGGACAGCCATTTGTCCGAAATGGTATAGGGTTTCCTGCCTGAGCAGGGGGTTGGACTAGATGACCTCCAAGATCCCTTCCAACTTTATCATTATTATTATTATTATTATTATCCTTTCTCCCGGAGGTCCCTTGTCTCTCTTTCTCCACTGCCGCTGCCTTTGTCCTCCTGACCTGCTTCTGAGGCTGCCTCTTGGCTTCCCGATCCATTGGCCACCCCGGAAAGGGGCTTCTTCTTGGCGGTCACCAAGCCCGAGAGTTGTGTCTTCACCGAGAGTTTTCCCACGCTCCTTTCCCAGCTTTCCAGCTTTAGCTTTTTAGCTTGCGGCTCGGAGTCCTGCGAAGGAAGCGAAAGGAACAGCCAGGGTTACGCTAAAGGACACCCTCCCAGCTGCATACTGTGGTTGCGACACCAAACAAAGTAGGGTTGTAATTCTGGGTTTGTGTGTAGAAGGTGTCCATGTCCACCTAAAACAGGGGTCTTCAAACTTGGCCCTTTTATGACTTGTGGACTTCAAGTCCCAGAATTCCTCAACCAGCGTTGCTGGCTGAGGAATTCTGGGAGTTGAAGTCCACGAGTCATAAAAGGGCCCAGTTTGAAGACCCCTGAATTAGAGAGTGCTGACTCATGCCTGAGGCAATCTACACTCTGATTGGTTACTGTGGGTATAAAGGGGGCGTTTCCCTTTCCCCCCGCCTTTTTTCCTCTGTGTGTTCTGTATACTGTTTGATTTACCTCAGGATATTTCTATGTGCCTGACTATTGTGTTTTTCCTTTCTGGATCATGATAAAAATGTAAATTTAAATGTGCCTGGCTGAGGAATTCTGGGAGTTGAAGTCCACAAGTCATAAAAGGACCTAAAGCACCTGAATTTCAGGGGATCGAATTAGATCAGGGCCAAAATTTCCACTCAAGAGCAAATTTTGCATAAGCAAGGCACACAGAGACACACACAAAACCCTCTTGAGATCTGAATGTAAGGTTTGTTCTGCACACAGGTATTCCTATATCAGCTTATCAACTCTTCGTTTAGCAACTCTTCAAAGTTACAAAGGTGCTAAAAAGAGTGGCTTATGACTGGTCCTCACACTAATAATAATAATAATAATAATAATAATAATAATAATAATAATAATAATAATAATAATAATAAGAAGAAGAAGAAGAAGAAGAAGAAGAAGAAGAAGAAGAAGAAGAAGAAGAAGAAGAAGAAGAAGAAGAAGAAGAAGAAGAAGAAGAAGAAGAAGAAGAAGAAGAAGAAGAAGAAGAAGAAGAAGAAGAAGAAGA